CAGTTTTTCTCTTTGTAAATTACTTCTCTTGTTCCTGCCTGCTCAAATTCACAGTGCAGTTTAATAAGCAACAAAACCCACAAAATCCCAAACCACCCCAGCCCCCAAACTCAGCAATCACCTGTATTAGGCAAGGTACCTCCTTTACAAACTGGAATGCTACACTGAGGCTGTTCAGGTTCTCAAGTACATACACACCATGCAGTCCGACAGAACTGCTAGGTCTGAGTGTATTTGCTTTCTTTATCAAATTGAGTAATGAACATACACCACCATCACACCACATACCACAAGATACAGCTTCCCTCCCCAATTTGCTCACAAAACGAGGAGGTCTTTGGTCAAATTCCATGGTCAAGACTCAGGGTATAAAATGCCTCAGAAACTGCACCAGTTTCCAAACTGCCATGAACCAAAAGCTTCCAAAGACCCTCCATGGCAGCACGCAGCTTAGAAATGCTGCAAGGAGTTTAAGAAGAATTTCTTTTCTCACGGCAGGACTGAAGACTGGAAAGCCACTAATGGGGCAAATGCTTTCCAAATATTCCCTCCCCCGCCCCGCAAGCAAGCCTTTAATACATGCCAAAAAAAAAAGGTTCCCTGCACAGTCACTGTACAGCAACCACATATGACTCAGAGTAAACAAAGTGGAGTAACTCCTCACACAATCTGTTTGTCCAGACTGGATCATTGCATCACCTCCATATAATGCATGATTTTAAAACTACAGGTTAAATCAGCTGGAGTTAGCAATCAACTATCATGTCACTATCATGTGGAGGTAAGGCTTTTACAGGGAAAATATCTTCAAAAAAAAAAAATTAATCATGTAGCCCATAAATGCCACTAATGGACTCTTCCTCATTTCTGCTTGCAACTTCAGTCACCCATTTGTGTAACACATTATTAAGAAGGAGCAATTCTGAATTATTAAAGTGTCACAGAATAAGTATGAAATAGTTCAGGAACTGTTTCATAATTCTTTAAAAATTCAATATTTAGTTTCTTTACACTTAAGAACCTGTTCTGCTGTCTATACAACTCTGTGTACTACTCCATCTGTAAAGTATTAGTGATGTAGCAAGTGAATGCTCTGAATATATATCCACAACCTTTGTAGTGTGCTGTACACTTACACAACTTTGATATAAAAAGGAATGAGGTTGGGAAATTGAATGGTTTACCTGCTACAGCACAGTAAGTTCTTTTCGAGATTGCTAACGTAAGATCTCACCTAGCAAACACCAACTTCTAGAAAACATTTTACTTGCAAGGTAATATAACCTCACTTACCTGAACAGTCATTTATTTCATAGCAATAAAATGATCCATGCAAAAAAGGCTCACTTACGTATGTTTGCAAGACATATGAGCTTCACATGTTGTGGGGAAGTAGAGAAGTGTAACTGTAGTGGTTCCAGAATGCAAAATAATATGCAAGAGAACTATGTCCTTCTCCTATAGAAATAAGGAGAAAAAAAAATTCCTCACCTGCGTGGCCTAGTTCTGGGAGACATCATCTCATTTCCAAGGATATGGTATCGCCTGGCCTCGTGCAGCAGTTGATAGCACTCTGGGGAATTCTGAATCAGCTGGTCCACTTCCACAGTCTGAACAAAGTAGTTTGGGTGTAACAACGGGAGCCTGACGTGCGTCAGGAGTTCATGTAACACTGGTCTTCGCAACTCAACTGCCCGGTACACCCAGCGCATGACAGCTTCAAACACCATCTCTTCCTTACTGATCACCAGTTCATCACTGCAAATGTAATCAATAAGCTCATCTTTCCCCAATTCAAGGAATTCTTCATGCTGGGACACGTCCTCAAACGTCTGCAGCGCAAAATTCCTGCACTTGGTGAACAGTGTCTTAAGCGAGTGCGTATCTGCAAAGCGCTGGATTCCCAGGCAATTGCAAGGATCCAGCTGTTCTTCCAGGAACTTGGCACAGGCATCACGCAAAACACTAATCTGAAAGAGACTCGATGTTTCGAAGAGATACTGCACGTTCTCTGTAGTGATTTTCACCTTGCCAGTGTATACATACTGTAAAAAGCAATCCATAGCTTCAGCAAAAATGCCATTGATCTCCACTAGCATCTCTCTGCTTTCCCTATGATCGTTGCAAAACATAGCTCTGAAGTAGCTGCTGCAGGCTGAGAGAACCGCCCGATGGCAGGGAAACTCCCTTCCTTCCACACAGATAATAACATCTGTGAACAACCGGCTGTCTCGAAATTCATTGAAGATCTGGAGAATGCTTTCAGCATGGGATGATCCCGAGGAGAAGTCGAAAAACTCTGGGCCTGACAATGATTTTGGGTCCATTTCAAAAACTTTCCGCTTAGTTGCAGGGGAATCTCGTATCCCACTATCCTCTCTATTCAGTCTGCGTCCCAGTATTAGTACCATTGTTACATCAGTTGGCTATAGAGTCATTGAGAAAAGTTTGCAGAGTTTCTCCTTCGCAGTGCTACGGTCTGAAAAATTAGAACACTTCAGTATTCAGTCTGATACATTTCATTGCGAGAATTAGACAAGATACTTGTTTCATTATTCTAAGAATCGGTACAATTTTTGACCTTTACTAGAGGTGACACCTGCAAATTCCTGTGCACCTTGCGCAGGGCAACGCAGCATTAGATTTCCTGGATAAAGATCCAGAGCTTGGGCTTTTCTCATTTTTCAGCATAATCCTCCTTTCAGCTGGAGCCTCCAAGTACTACTGCAACAGCATTAGTCAAAAAGGAGGGGAGGGGGGAAGACCAGAATTTTCAAAATAAAAATTCAGTTGAGAAGTCACTCCATTTTCATTATGAAGTCTATCATAACGTAGTCTTATAATACTAGTGTTTAATAACATTGTTATCTCATTGAATAACCTTGACCGGAAGTTCTTACCTGTTCACTCCTAGTACCTAAAAATTAGTTCACTGATAACTAAGATTCAATTAAAAATTAGTGTAAACTGCTAGCACACAAAACAGCATGAAGAAAGAATTACATTTGTTTGTGCAAGACTACTAAAAGAACCAAGGGCAACTTTACTGAGGACATGGAAAAAAAATAGTTTGTTTTCCAAAGTACTGCTAGGAAAAAAGTATGAGCAGAACCTTTTGCTCAAACACTTCCCAGTTTCAACTACACAGTGTCCAATGTTCCCCCCAGCATGCAAACGCACACTCGAGTTATCAGAGCACTGAAGTTACTAAAAATCAAGTAGTGTATGCCAATATTAAAGTTTGTAGGTGAAAGAAATGCAGCTGATTTTGCAGATAGTGCATATTAGAGGTAATGTGACCAACCAATCTAGCACCAATAGCGCTTTCTGCCACTCCTGAGCTTTAAAATGAACTGGATGGATGTCCACCAAAGCGTACCGAGGCAGCAAGAGGCTGGGCAAAACGCCCTCTTGGGTCTGAGACAGGTATCATTCCCAGTGCTTGTAATATTTATTTGTACGTCCAGAAGGGCATGCACTGAATTACTTTCAAGCTTATGGAAATAAGTTTCCCTCCTTCCCCACTAACAGAGTCAGTGAGCAACAGCTCCTCACAGCAATTTCACCTCCTGATGTTGTAGCATCTTTAGAGCTGCACTTACCCATCCAAGCCTGGCTAAATCACTTAATATAGAACACAATGAACGTGCTTTTTTTACACAGCACCTTTAAAAGGCACCATCTTAACAAAGAGCAAGAAAAGAACGTGTGTTGTACATTTAAAACCTCTTTTCTCCGTGATTAAAACTATAATTTTCCATATAATTTTTTTTTACACGTATTTACAAGGTAGATTCTTGGTATGGCTCATTTACCCTACAAAATATTTGATTTGAATTAAAATAGGAGCAGTTGTCACTTTGATGCCTGAAAAACACTGTTGCAATGAGCCTATCTAATAACCCATTGCTTCATAGTGATTTTAACGAGGCATAATGGACAGTCTAATCTGCCGCCGATGTTCTATCCAACGTATTTCACAACCATTTTACCCTGTAATGACGCAGGCCGCTAAAAACCAAAACCAACAACAACCACCACCACCTCACTAGCTCTATTGCTAACACTCTAACCCTTAGGTTGAACTTTATCTGTGATTAATTCCATACTACTGAGCATGAGAAAGTGGGCAGAAATGAAGCATCGGCAGTAGAAAAGGGAAATGTGACAATGAAAATATAAATATAAACCTCTAAGGCTTGATTCCAGTGTCACAGATTTAAATCAGCATAATTTCACTAAAACTAATGGAGCATTTCCAAAGCAACGTTAGCCTGGAATCATAAACAAGACACTGGCATATTGCATGAAAGGGCAAAACACAACTACTAAGTAAAGAAAGCTTCAAGATTATATCTTTCTCATTGCATGGGAAATTAAGACTTAAGATGACACTATATTATGCGATCACTAATAAATGGAAAGAAGGGCTCTGGGTTAAGACTGCTCACTGAAGGCAGCATGGTCTTCTTTATGCTTGGAACAACATGAATTAGTGTTCAGCAAGTCATTTTTGTTTGGGGTTTTTTTTTTAAAGTCCTGATGCTTTAAAGAAGTGGGAGACTAAAAAAAAATAATCCAGGGAGCAAGAACTAATCAAGGGGATAGATATTGCAAATTCAAAGTAAGAGAATAAAAAGGAAAAAGAATTACACTCCTTTGCAGAAATTACTGCTTTTGAATATCCTGTGCTTCAATTTCTATTCAGTTCATTACTTCTGTAGGTTTGCTTAAGCAAAGTAAGTTTATAAGACTCAGTAACACTATCACTGCTCAGCTCTGTCAGACATACACATGGCCTTCTGGCAAAGCTTACTCTGGCAGTTTCAAAATGTCACCATTTTATGTCACCACCTGCCCCACATTTCAGCCCCAAAGCCAGGAAGACAGAGGGGAATCTGTGCCTGAATCCAAGCTGCTTAAGTGCGCAAAGGAGGGACACACAAGGGCATATACCTGTCTGCACCTTCTGCTTATATAAAAGGGACCTACACATGGCTACAGACTCTGAATTATAAAGCACCGATCACTTAGAGAATTTATCATTGAGATCTCTTCAGTAAGTTTAAAAGAAGCAAAAGAAAAAACAAAAGACATTTTTCCCCAGAGACAACTGTTGAAAATTACTGTATCAAAAACTACAAAATGCATTGGCTTGCTTGCCTGAGCAGGGATCAACAAGGATGGACCTTAAGCAAATCACCCATTCAAAAAACTGGAAGGGGAAAAACAAATCACATTTTCTATCAACAGGTTTGAAAAACACTTTACCAATACAGACACTGCTCCGACGCGGATGTTACCTGCACATGCTTGTCTCTAAATTAAGCTGGGTTCACCAGAAGATCAGGTTCCTCCATTTCCTTAGTCTGTATTGTCTGTAGGCTTGTCTACACAAGATGCTCCTTAGAAGTAACTAAGAGCCTGGTAGTAACCTCAGAGGCTGGTAAATGAGGTCTGTAAAAGGTTTGCCCTGACACCTTCCGTCAGGAAATCCTCCCATGCAAATTGCTTTTATGTTGCATTAAACTCCTCCTTCCTCCACTGCAACATCCTCATGTAGTTTACCCCTGTCCCCTCATCAGCAGCTCTGGCAAACAGCTAGCCATTTTCTGGTAGAGCTGTTTTTCTGTCACTTCTGCGTCACAGAACTCCTTTGGTCCGTTAGCAGAGCTGACAGAAGGCAGCAGAGGAAACAGGCAGCCAGGGTCGGGAAACAGGCAGCCTTGGGTAGCACCCAGTCATCAGGTGTGCCCAAGCCCCACCTCCAAAGCTCACCCGCAGGGTGTAGTTTCAAGAGTACCTGAAGCTGAGCTGGGCTTCTGCTGCTGCCAGTGGAGGTGGCTGCCACGACCGGTGACCGTCTGTAAAGGGAGAAAAGGAGGTGCTGGAAACAGGCAGCTGCCCTGGGGAAGGGCAGGAACCACCAGCATGGCCCCAGCAGCAGCCCGGCACGCTGATGGCACCGGGACGTGGCCTGCATGGCCGAGCCTGGCAGCCAAGAGCTTGCAGGCGAGTCTACTATTACCTGGTACTATGGCATTAGCAACAGCAACCCCAAGGTAACGCAACCAAATTTGGTAAAATAAATGGTATTTTCATTCCAAAGCGTGGGAACAGTAACTCAGGTTTGGCTGATTCTAGTTATTTATATTCTAGTTATTTGATATGTGATTTCAAGTAACGGGGTCTGCAGATGTGCTTCACCTCAGATGTCTGGTTACCACAACAGTCAAGCTCCCAGTTGTATCTACTGCAACACACTGGCTAAACCACAACATGTGCTCTAGTTTTTTTCTTTTAAAGGAAGGGGAGGGAAGCATAACCCTTCTGTCCACCAAAAACCAAACAGCATTTATTTTTCCTTCTTCTTGATTCATGACATTAAAAAAAAGATCAAAAAGTTGTTGGTTTTAAAGGGCTTTCTTTTAAAAAGAAAAATTATTCTGGTTTTACAACAGAAATTTAGGATTTGAATGCCTTTAAGATAAATGAAGTCTTTAAGAATACTGAGTAACAAGTAAACAAGAATTCCAAGTGAACAAGCTGACATGGTAAGGAGTTAGTTACACTGTGCAAGCTTTATTCTAATGCAAGACACTCTCTGGATAAAAAAATACACACTCTGAATGCCAAAATTCAGTAGTAATCACGCCAATGACACACACACAAAAAAGCCTTAAGTGCCCTCAAAAATCACCCAGCAAAAACAGGAACTGATTCGGCGGGAGACTCACGGTTATTAAGCAGAACAAAACAAAAACACGCAGCGGGAGGAACGCCTTCCGACTGCGCAGCAGCCTTTAGGGAACCTTTCTGTAGGTGGTGGCCTAGAAGGGGGCACAGCCACTGGGGGGAAATCCCCCCCAGGGCACCGCATCCTGGCGTTCATCTACGGGCAGCGACTGGGACAAAGCCAGCGTTCTCCCACCGTGGTTTCGCTACCGTTCTGACACATACCCACATTTTGATTAAAAAACCCAAGAACCCAAACCACGCAAACCCCGCACAAAAGCCCCCGTCACCGCTCACCCCCCACCACGCGACCCCAGGGCCCAACGCCCGCGCCG